TATACAGTACATGACATGGGATCCATGATCTCCTATACAGTACAGGGCACGGGATCTGGGATCTCCTATAGAGTATAAGGCATGGGACCCAGGATTTCCTATACAGTACAGGGCACGGTATCCAGGATCTCCTATACAGTACAGGACATTGTATCTGGGATCTCCTATACAGTACAGGACATTGGATCTCCTATACAGTACAGGACATGGGATCCAGGATCTTCTATACAATACATGGGATCTCCTATACAGTACAAGACATGGGATCCAGGATCTCCTATACAGTACAGGACATGGTGTCCAGGATCTCCTATACAGTACAGGGCATTGGATCTCCTATATAGTACACGCACGCACACTCCGCTCCTCACAAGACCTCCTTCTCTCTAGTTCCCTGGTCTCCTCCTCCCATGCCCGCCTCCAGGACTTCTCCAGGGTGTCACCCATCCTCTGGAACTCCCTGCCCCAACCCATCAGATTATCACCTACTCTCCTCTCCTTTAGGCGCACCCTGAAAACCCATCTCTTCAGGGAAGCCTACCCCACCCCCTGCTAACTTGCCGACCTCCTCCACTCTTCCTACCACTCCATCCCCCACAGCTATCTCCTCCTGTGCCACCATCCCCTCCCTCCTAGATTGTAAGCTCGAAAGAGCAGGGCCCTCAATCCCCTTATGTGTTGCATTGTATTGGTATTGTTCTGTCACATGTTCTGTCCCCCTTTGTAATGTACAGCGCTGAGCGAACTATTGGCGCTTTATAAATACTGTATAATAATAATAATAGTACATGACATGGGATCCAGGATTTCCTATACAGTACAGGACATGGGATCCGGAATCTCCTATACAGTACAGGACATGAGATCCAGGATCTTCTATACAGTACAGGACATGGGATCTCCTATACAGTACAAGACATAGGATCCGGCATCTTCTATACAATACAGGGCATGGGATCTCCTATATAGTACATGACATGGGATCTGGGATTACTTATGCAGTACAGGGCATGCGATCCGTGATCTCCTAACAGTATAGAGCATGGGATTCAGGATCTGCTATACAGTACAGGACATGGGATCCAGGATCTCCTATACATTACAGGACATGGGATCCGGGATATCCTATACAGTACAGGGCATGGAGTCTGGGATCTCCTATACAGTACAGGGCATTGGATCTCCTACATAGTAAACGACATGGGATCCGGGATCTCCTATACAGTACAGATCATGGTATCTGGGATCTCCTATACAGTACAGGGCATTGGATCTCCTATATAGTACATGACATGGGATCCAGGATCTCATATACAGTACATGACATGGGATCTGGGATCTCCTATACAGTACAGGGCATGGGATCCAAGATCTTCTATATAGTACATGACATGGTATCGGGATATCCTATAAAGTACAGGGCATGGGATCTCCTATATAGTACATGACATGGGATCTCCTATATAGTACATGGCATGGGATCTCCTATATAGTACATGTCATGGGATCTCCTATACAGTACAGGGCATGCGAGGCCAGCAGGTGCCAGGCTGGGTTAGGTAGGTATGATCCATTATGGAAGGGTATATAGGTACACAGTATATATATATATACACAGGACACACAGACACTGGGAGGTCACTTGTTACCTGATACTCCCCACAGCACGACATGACCGAGGATCACCGGAGCACCGGGGACGAGGACATGCCGGGTCTTCACCGCTCCTCCTGCAGCACAGAAGACAAGGACAAGTCACTTACAGCACCGGGGTGCCCGGCTATGTGCCATATACTTAACGTGCCTTGGACCCAGCTATGTACTGTGTACTTACCGTGCCTTGCACCCAGCCAGGTGAAGTTAGTAAGAAGCAGGTAGAAGGTGCCAGGAACGCGCTCAGGAACCCCGGGGTGACACGCACAGAGGGGCGGAGTCCCGGTACTCCGGCCAGGTGAGGAACTCCAGTCACTGTAGGGCAAGAATCTGCCGCGCGCCCCCCCGACTCTGCCGCTGTGCACGAGCTAGGCGCCCCCTCCCGCTGTCCTCAGTAGAGTAGTAGTAGTGTGCTGTCCCAGCTGTGTGTCCCATACACCCGAGATACTCCTATGTACCCAACATACAACTGACATACACCCTCCATAGACATGGCGTGTCCGCTCTGTGCATGCATCCTGAACACACGTGCACAGTACAAGTCTGTAATCCCCGGACACACGTCCGGTGCCAGGAATGAGGTGACCTGAGAGCCGTTTTTAGAAGGGCGATGAGGGGGTTATATATAGAACCCGGACAACGTGTTTTCTCCGGGTCCTGGAGAGAGTAGAGAAGAGTGAGAAGAACCTGTCAGGTTCACTGGGGGATGTCACATGGAGGAACAACAGGAAGTGAGGGGAAATCTCCCCAAAGTGAAAAGAATCATGGCTTGATGAAAGGGAACTTCCCCTGACTTAGGCCTCATTCACATGGGCGTAGTATAGCGTATGCCCATGCCAGGGTGGGCTTTTTATGCACAGATGTTCAATGCAGGCAGTCCCATTTATTTCATGTAGGAAGAACATCTGTATGAGTGTGTGGCCCTGGACGCAGACAGCGGGAGTTCGGGGCCATGCACCTTCACGACTGTCAGACTGGGATCAGTAGCTGTGTTCACAGAGCCACTCAGATCTAGCTGAAATAGATGGGGCTGCCTGCACATGGATGCACGGAACACCCGCCGTAATGACAAACATGGCCCTTGCCATACTGCAGTACACTAGGGTTGTCACCTCATCCTTTTAAATCTGACCACATATTAACCACTTCAAGTCCGGACACTTTCACCCCCTTCCTGCCCAGGCCAATTTTCAGCTTTCAGTGCTATCACACTTTGAATGACAATTGCGCGGTCATGCAACACTGTACCCATATGACATAGCATTTTTTTGAGACAGATAAAACTTTATTTTGGTGGTATTTATTCACCACTGGGATTTTAATTTTTTTGCTATGTAAATTAAAAAGTCCAAAAAATTTTGAAAAAAAGTGTTTTTCTTATACCATTTTGCAAATAAATAATCTTTGTTCATAAATCTTGGCCAAAATGTATTCATCTATCTTTTAGTAAAAAAAAAATAACCCAAATTTTTTTTTTATAACTAAATATTTTTTTTTCTAAATTTTTTTTAAATTTTTTTTTTGTATTATTATTTATGTTTTCTTTAACCACATGCCGCCCAGCCACTGTAGAAATACGGCGGCAGGGCAGCACGGCTGGGCAAAACCACATTTTAAAACGTGTGTTTCTAAAACGGGGCGCGTGCGAGGCGCACCGCCGCCCTACCTGTCCCGCCGATCACAGCCGGATATCAGTCGTCGGGTCACAGCCGGTTGTTACTGGCTATGTCCCGGCGATCGGCGGCAATCGCTGACAGAGAGCACAGCTGCAGTAGCTGTGCTTTCTGTCAGTTCCCTGACAGCTCGAAAATACGCTGACCGGGACAGAAGAGTTTCTCTCTCCCGATCAGTGGTGTTCCCTGCAGTACACACCCCCGCCCCCTAGTAAAACACTCCCCTCACACAGTTAACCCTTTCCCTGAATAATAAACTCCCTTCCTCCCCAGTGCCATTAGTACAGTGTCAGTGTTTATTTTCTTGCACTGATCACTGTATTGGTGTCACTGGGGATGTCAGTGACCCCAAGTCAGTACCCCCCAATGTCAGAATGTCCGCCGCAGTCCCACCATAAGTCGCTGATCGCCGCCATAAGTCACTGATCGCCGCCATAAGTCCTGATCACCGCCATTATTAGTATAAAAAAAACCTAAAAATCCCAGTATCTTTCCCGCCATTTGTAAATGCTATAACTTTCACGTAAACCAATTAATTTACACGTATTGGGGTTTTTTTTTTAGCAAAGACATGTCGCAGAATGCATTTTGGCAGAAATTTATGACCAAATTTGATTTTTAAATTTTTTTTTACTGGACATGTTTTGTAGCATAAAATCCAAAATATTGTTTTTTTTCCTCAAAATTGTCAGCCTTTTTTTTATAGCGCAAAAAATAAAAACCGCACAGGCGATCAAATACCACTGAAAGAAAGCTCAATTTGTGGGGAAAAAAAGGATGTAAATTTCATTTATGTACCGTATTGCATGATCGCGCAATTGTCCGTTAAACTAGCGCAGCGCTGTATAGCAAAAAAATGGGGTAAATTGCAGTATATACCATAGTTTGTAGACGCTATAACTTTCACACAAAGCAATCAATATACACTTATTGGGATTTTTTTTACCAAAAACATGTAGCAGAATACATTTAGGCCTAAATTTATAACTAATTTTGAGTTTACTATATATTTTTTATAGCTGAAAGTAAAAAATATAGTTTTTCTTCAAAATTTTTGTCCTTTTTTTTTTGTTTATAGCACAAAAAATAAAAAGCGCACAGGTGATGAAATACCACCGACAGAAAGCTCTATTTGTGTGAAAAAAAGGACGTAAATTTTGTTTGGGTGCAGCATTGCATGACCGCGCAATTATCAGTTGAATTAGTGCAACACCAAGTAGCAAAAAGAGGCCTGGTCATTAAGGGGGGTAAATCCTCTGGAGGTCAAGTGGTTAACATACTGTCACCCTAGCAGTACAGTGTCACCATAGTCACACTGTACTACTTGTGGGGGGTGATGAAGACTTTTTTTTTCTTTTTTTACACTGATTGCATTTACACCCATAAAGACTGTAAAAGCAATAATTTCTCCTCTCTGGCTGCATTCTTGCAGCCATTGAGAAATACTGTGAGCAGGGGCGGACTGACAACAATTGGGGCCCCCGGCAATTGGGGATCATGGGGCCCCTGTGTCCTTGCCCACACTCAAAGCACACCCAAAAAAGCCTATACAAAAGGTGCCAGGGGCATTTCATAGGGCCCCCTACTGACCCTGGGCCCTCGGGCAGTGCCCGAGTGCTCAAATGGTCAGTCCGCCCCTGACTGTGAGTGCTGTGATTGGTCACAGCTTGTCACATGTTGCAAGGCTGTTGTGAATAGTACCATGTGACCTCTGTGATCATTCACAGATTTCACAAGTAGTAAGCAATGATGTCAGGAAGTGACATCTTGTTTACTACTGTTCCTGTGATCACTGATTGGCCAATCAGTGATCACATGATTGGGAACTCACACAGAGGTCCCGTACAGCGATCTGTGCTCCGCTGTGTCCGGGGCACTGATCACGGTGCCTCATACTCCCAGGGAGCACGCACAGGCAATCGATGTGGGGGGACGTTTAGAAATGTCCACCCACATCGGCAGCGCTCCCATCCGGCCGTTTATATGGGCCGGACGGGAAGTGGTTAATTACACAGGTTCTGGGGCTGATTAAGGTGGTAATTTAACTCACTTAGTGCCTTATCTGCCCTCCAGAGGATTTACCTCCCCTTCCTGACCAGCTCATTTTTTGCAGGGCAGCACTGCGTTACTATAACTGACAATTGTGCGGTCATGCAACGCTGTACATAAATGAAATGTATGTCCTTTTTTCTCCGCAAATAGAACTTTCTTTCCGTGGTACAGTATTTGATCACCTCTGCCTTTTTTATTTTTGCGCTATAAACAAAAAAGACTGCCAATTTTGAAAAAAAAACCCAATATTTTTGCTATAAAATATATCCAGTAAAAAAAAATTAAAAAATCTAATTTCGTCATAAATTTAGGACAAAATGTATTCTGCTACATGTCTTTGCTAAAAAAAAATCACAATACGTGTAAATTAATTGGTTTACGTGAATGTTTTAGCGTTTACAAATGGCAGTATAGATACTGGGATTTAAATTTTTTTTATACTAGTAATGGCAGCGATCAGCGACTTACAGCAGTACTGAGGCGGGCATTCTGACACTGGCTGGGAACTAACTGCCACTGACATCCCCAGTGATACTAATACAGTGATCAGTGCTAATAAAAGGCACTGACACTGTACTAATGACACTGGGCAGGAAGGGGTTAACATCTGGGGCAATCAAAGGGTTAACAGTGCACTGTTTTACATAATGTGCTGTGCTTTACTACGGGAAAATGCTGCTTTGTTTTTCTCTGCTGTGCAGAGAAATACAAAGCAGCATGTCCTTGCTGGAAAGCGAGAGACCTGTGTTGTTTACACACAGGTCTCTCCCCTGTCAGCTTTGCCCGACAGTCACTGGGTGCCACACTTGCGTGCCCCCTACCTGGAAATGCAAATCATGTATGTGATTTTGCGCAGCCCTGCCGCCCTGTATCAGTACGTCTACTATAGGGTGGTGGGAAAAAAATTAGCTTCAGAACCTGTATAATTAATATGTGTTCAGTTTTAAAGGGATGAGGTGACAACCCTAGAGTACACTCATGTGAATGAGGCCTTAGAACAGTTTTAGACACTTAACCTGGGAGTGGTCAGGGAAATTCTCTACCCTCCCAAGCCAAACACCATGCATGAAACCATTCTAATGGGTCTCACTTTCCTTGCCGTTCCTGGCACCCCTGGAGAGTTTACTTACGGCCTTTACTTCTGGCCATGGTGAGCCCTATGTTTACAGAAGGGGGCATAGATAAGCACAGTATTCTTCCCATCTTTGTGAGCGAGTATTTTACATACCATGGTAACACTGATCATACACAGATTGAATTGGCTGTGGTATGTGTAGGGATGTGAGTTATGCCTTGTACACAGGATCAGAAAATCATACAAAAAGTACCGCTTTCAAAGCGATCGTACAATGATCTGATTGTTAGCACACATATTTCCTACAAAATTATTTGAAGGGACAAACAGGAAAATGTTTCTCATACAATACCAGATCGTACAATTTTGATTTAATTAGCACACTTTTCATACGAAAATACAATACAAATATCTTACATCACTTCTGAATTTTCTTTCTATCATACAATAATTTACATAACTTTAGTAACCTCTACACTTAGATGCAGTGGTATTTAGGTTTTTTGCTGCCCTAGGCAACACAAAAATCAGATGCCCCCCCCCGGAGCCTGACACCAACCAACACCAGTGCCCCCCCCCACCCGAGAAAGCCTTCCACTAACACCCCCCCCCCCAGAAATAGAGAGAAAGACACTCACCTTCACAGCTCCAGAAATCCCTGGGAACGAGAGTCAGGCTCTGCATACATCATCAAGCAGCCCGCAGCCTCTCTCTGATCCCACCTGGTCCCCATGCCGCACATGTCCCTTCTTGCTGGGGGGGGGTGCTGCCCCCCTGAAAAATGTCGCTCTAGGCAAATGCCTTGTTTGCCTTGTGGTAAATACACTCCAGCTTAGATGTGAGACTAGCATGCAAAAAATAAAGGGTGATCATTTGTTCAGTATTCTCATCGTGTGTATGGGGCTTTAGGGACCTTGGATTGTAAACTCCTTGAGGACAGGGACTGATATGAGTGTACGATATATAAAGTGCTGTGTACATTGTTGGCACTATATGCATGTCTGTAATAAATAATTTTTCTATAAGTGTTAATCTCATTTTAAAAAGTTGTTTTCTATTCTTTTAAATTTGCAGAAATAATATCCTGCCATGAAGGTCCTTGTTCAGACACTTGCTGTGCTCCTGTACTGTCATCCACTCACATGGGTCCCCAAGCACTGAAAAATATTTTGCAAATATAATGCCCTCTAGATTAGGCAGAGAGAGTTTGCTGTTTTATTTTTTTAGGCAGAGTCTGAGCAGCAGCCTGGGATGAGTCAGCCTGGAAGTGAGATAGAGAGGTTACCTCAGGACAGGCTAGGGAGGTTCTGCAGGTCAGAGCTTCTGGAGTCCTCCCATCTCTCAAGAAACCTGAGAGCTTTCTGGAGGAGGGGAGGTAGCTCGGATCTGCATACTTGAGGGACCTTAGACAATCCTCTGACAGGAGGCTGGGCAGGGTGACCAAGGCAATCCTTAAGTATTGTAGAGCCTGGGAGGAAGGAGAGCAGTGTCAGGTGGAAGATGGAATGAGAGGCTGAAGGGTGGAGCCTAGGAGGGGGTTCAGGGAAGGGGCCTTCCTACAGGCAGGTGCTGAAGAAGATAATCTCCACTGTACCACCATCTCCAAGGGATGACATCCTGAGCAGCAAGGAAGGAGCCAACCCAGTGAAAGGCCTGAAGGCAGCCATCAACCCACCAATCTGGAGAAGATAGTGTGAGTACTCTTACACCCCCTGGGCTGGATGAGGGGAGAGGGCAGTCAGATGGAAAACCCAACTAGCTTCTCATCTGGGGCTGCTGCGCTGAATTGGCAGTTTCTGGGCCCCCTTGCCCTGGGATACCGTCAGTACAGCTGGGTGAAGCGGAGGATTCATCTTCATTTTTTTTTACCAATAAATATCTGAAAAGTGTGGCATGCATTTGTATTCAGCCCCTTTACTCTGATACCACTAACTAAAATCTAGTGGAACCAATTGCCTTCAGCAGTCACCTAATTAGTAAATAGAGTCCATCTGTGTGTAATTTAATCTCAGTATAAATACAGCTGTTCTGTGACACCCTCAGAGGTTTGTTAGAGAACATTAGCGAACAAACAGCATAATAAAGGCCAAGGAACACACCAGACAGGTCAGGGATAAAGTTGTGGAGAAGTTTAAAGCGGCGTTAGGTCATAAAAAAAATCCCAAGCTTTGAACATCTCACAGAGCACTGTTCAATCCATCATTCGAAAATGGAAAGAGTATGGCACAACTGCAAACCAACCGAGACATGGCCATCCACCTAAACTGACAGGCCTGGCAAGGAGACCATTAATCAGAGAAGCAGTCAAGAGGGCCATGGTAACTCTAGAGGAGCTGCAGAGATCCACAGCTCAGGTGGGAGAATCTGTCCATAGGACAACTATTAGCTGTGCATTCCACAAATCTGGCCTATATGGAAGAGTGGCAAAAAGAAAGCCATTGTTGAAAGAAAGCCATAAGAAGTCCTGTTTGCAGTTTACGAGAAGCCATGTGGGGGACCCAGCAAACATGTGGAAGAAGGTGCTCTAGTCAGATGAGACCAAAATTGAACTTTTTGGCCTAAAAGCAAAATGCTACTAACACTGCACATCACCTTGAACACACCATCCCCACCGTGAAACATGGTGGTGGCAGCATCATGTTGTGCGGATGTGGACTGAACCCTGATGTCAATCCTGCGCATGCACGTGGAAGTTTCGGCCACGGCACGCTGTCCATCAACAACGCAGTTCGCATGCGCCGGTGACATCACCGGCGCCACTGCAGTAAATATCTCCTGAACAGTGCGCGTTTAGGAAATATTTACAGTACCTAAAGGTAAACCTTATTAAAGGCTTATCTGGAGGTAAAACTTAACAAATAGGGTTTGCTTCCACTTTAAAAGAAACTTGTGGACAAACATGTAGGCTGGTATTGCTACCCTTTTGAAACTGCTAGTTCCCTGACTATATGGGATTCACAGTTTCTGAGTCGTTCCAATGGAATTCATTTACACTCCATCTCCAGGAACCTGCAAAATCATCCTTTGCAATGAGGCTGCACCCGCACCTACATGAGTCAATTGTTTGTTTAGGTCTAGGGGGACTTGTTAAAGTAGATTTACTTATCCGATACTTTGCTTCTTTGCACTGCTGGACCGGTCCCCACAATATCTTTTCCCCTATGCTTCAGCGATTTAAGGTCCTGACCAGGGGCGGACTGACAACTCATGGGGCCCTCGGGCAATAAGGGATCATGGGGCCCCTGTGTCCTTGCCCAAACTCAATAAAGCCTATGAAAAAGATAGCAGGGGCATCTCATGGGGCCCCCTACTGACCCCGGGCCTTTGGGCAGTGCCCGAGTTTCCAAATGGTCAGTCCGCCCCTGGTCCTGACGCAATCAAAACCAGTGCATAGCCCTGCACTGGATGTGATAAAGTCCAGGGACCGTCCACCGCTGAAGTGTGAAGGGTTGTCTGCGGAGGATCGGATCAGCAAAAGCATTTTTCTCTCCCTTGGACTAAACAAGCAACTAACCCTTGCAGCATGGTCGCAGTCCCATAGTCCCACTACAAGGGATAAGTTTTAAGTTTCCTGGAGTTGA